CACTCTGCCGGAGGGGGGGGGGGGCATTGGGGAGGCCATCTTTATCAACTTTGCTGCCTCCATGATGATGTGTGAGTAGTTCTTTTAGGACCTATGAGTCCTTAGTAGTAGCTAGATGGCTCTCTCTCTCTCTCTATCTATCTATCTATCTATCTCTTGATCTTGATCTTCAATACAACGATCTCTAGGGAGATCGATGTAATTCTTGTGGCATGTTTGTTGGGATCCGATGAATTATGAATTTATGATTAGATTGTTCATTGAATTTATATGTATCTTTTGAAGTTTCTCTCTTTAGTAATTTTCTAACTATGTATGTTTTCCGATCTATGAGTTTTCTTTGACCAAGATAGATGAGTAGATCTTCAGAGGGAGTGGTGCATAGTAGTGGGTTCAATCTTGCGGTGATCTTATCCAGTGATAAAAGGGACAAAGACACGTATTGTATTGTTGTCACTAAGAATAAAACAACGGGGTTTTGGTATATTGATTTATCTCTTCCTGTCTACATTATGTCATCTTTCTTATTGTGTTACTCTATTTATTATGAACTTAATATTTTGAGATGCATGCTAAATAGCGGTCTTGAGATTGGAGAAATAGTAGTAGATGCAGTTGGATTAACAGTCTACTTGTCATGGACATAATGCCTATGTGGGATTTGTGCCATGAATGATAATAGTTATAATTTATGTTATTCTGACAATTTACCAATAGTAATTTATCTACCATGCCACTATATGCATTCGAGAGAGATTCCTCTAGTGAACCTATGGCCCTCGTGTCTATTTTCTATCAATACAAAAAGTCCTACAATTGCTTTTTACTTTCTTTTATTGTTTTCTACTTTTCCCTATCACTCTTTGCTTTTGATATTGTAACTAGTAAGAACAAAGGGAGTGATGACCCCCTTGCTTTTGTTGGGTGCAAGCAATTTTTTTGTTTGTGTTAAGATATTGCTAAAGTTTTTAGCTTAGCGACTCCTACTAGTTCGATAAATCTTGTTTCTTAACTGAGTGAAATACTATCTGCTGCCGTGCTACATCACCCTTCCTCTTTGGGGAAATCCAACAACTCCTGCAGGAGTAGCATCGCTATGTGCGAAGTACTCTTGATTATAGTTTATGGCTATGGGCGTGAAGACTACGAAGGAGGTGGCTATTGTTGACACCAGATTTTTGCATGGCACAAAACCCTATCAAGATGACATTTGATGAGAAAAGTTACAACTGCAAAGTTCTTCGTCTCGTCGAAAAAGTTGATTTTGATATAAAAATCGTCCCAATCCGAGTTTGTATGCAAAAGTTACAGCCATCAAAATACAGTCCTATTACGAGCCAAAAGTGGCGCGCCGCACCACACCCTGTCTGATAGGTAGCGCGAATAATAGTCTGTTTTGAGTGAGCGATTTGACCCTCAAGATGACCTCTGATCAAAAACTGTTCAACATGAAAGTTGTTTGTCTCGTCGAAACGGTCAAGATTGCTTTTGGGCTCGTTTCCATTCGAGGTCGTTTACCACCTCAAAAATTACCCGCAAGGTTCAATCAGTTTAAACCGAACAGTTTTGGAAAGTTCGGATAAAACCAATCCGAATTTGACTAGGGTTTTGGACGTGAATCCAAAGCTTTTTCCTTGCACGGGAAGTCCAGCCGCCTCTTATATACCTAAGGGGTGACGGCCGATTGAACAACAACACACAATCGTAAAACCTATCTACTTTTTATCCTAGTTTTACATCTCTCCCTTGTTCTTTCTCGCTCGTTCTTCGTGTTGAAGGGCAGCGATCCTTGGGGCTCTAGGGGCGGGCTGGCTATGGCCAAAAGGAGAAATAGTCTTGTTCATTATATTCCTCCTAGAATCCAAGGCATTTCGTCGGAATACATCCTGTCGGAACCGACCTAGGGCAGCCCATAGCCGATGTGCGTCCAGACGGGGTCCCTCCCGGGCGCGTGGGGTTTCGGGTGCTCAAAAACGCCTGCCGGATTACTTGCGTACCGCGCTTTCAGACGGGTCTCCTTCAACGTGAGTTGCGGTGCATCACGCTCGGCGTTGGAGATACACGGTGACGTGTTCATGTGCGAACAGCTATAGAGATGGAGATGGCTCCTATAGATGATAGTGACGGCGGTTGTGAAGAGGTCCTTTGGTGGATGAGCGCCTCCTCTTGACGAAGGGTTTTCTTCTCCTTATATGGCCCCAATGTGTGGAACCCTAGAAACCCTAACTAGGACAAGGGGATTTCTAGGGACGGAAGGCTCTCCTCGTCGCTCATTTCGGAACCCTAGGAATCCAAACTTGACAAGGTGATTTCTGGGAATGGAAGGCTCTCCTTGCCGCTCATTTCATTTTGAAGGCTCTCTGATTCACTCGCTCGAGGAATAGACTGAAGTGAATTTTACTTATGGATGGCATAGGTGGATAAATACTCTTCAATGAAGTTGAAAAGGTAGGCGAATGTTTTTTTTTGTTATTTTGAACACGGTACAAGCGCAAACGCTCATATATATGCACATATACTCACTCTATGAACGAACGCATGCACATTCTACCTATACGGGCACCTTCAAAAGATTGAGCCAACACATCGTCTTGAAATTGATGAAGTCGTCACATACACCTCTATAGTCAACGGGAATGTTTCATCTCACTAAATGAACCGAAAGTCCAGAATAAATTCAGGAAAATGCGAGCACTAACTTGGAACTTTCATGTGCTGGTTCCCGCAAAGAACCTAACCATCTGAGCTAGCCTCGGATCACAAAAGTTAGGGTATGTCGGCTGTGAAAATTGCACTACAAGAAGTTTCAGCACTTATGAAGTTGGTTTACTGGAAACTCCCGCCCTCTTTGGTTCAGCTTATAACTTTTGGACCGAAAAATTGGCAGCTGAAGTTGAACCAAACACAACCAGCAAGAGCTAAGTTGGAGGAGCCGACTCCCTCAGGTATGCCGTATGCATAATGCAAGGTTACAGGAACCACTCACGTAGTTACAGTGGTATAGAGCGCAAAATATGGACATGAGTGCACAAGCACTGTCAAATCTATGCAGCTACGAACAAGCTCAGTCAGGATTTGGTTCTTGGTTACAGATACAAGTGTACCAGCCATGAATATTCAACTTCTAATACACAAGCTCACGGGAGCAGAGCGCCACATGACACAAGCCCAACTTGTGCAAATTTGTCATTTTTGTATCTCAAACAATGTTACGAATTTTGATTTGAATTTTTATGACAGCACACATTGATGTTATGTCAATGCACTAAAAAAATCAGATTTTCTCAAACATTTTTAAATGTGCAACGAAGGACCAGTGCACGGTAGCACCAATTGCTCCGGTTCACCAGATACATCCCCAATACTAGTTAGAGGTGATCAAATAGTAACATATTTACATATATAAATATATTAGAGAAGGTATAGCGCTAGGAACATATTACAAGCCGATAATTGCACATATACCTAATGCTTCCCGTGGTGAGAAAATACATCAAGACAATAACACTCATAAGAAAAGGCAGCAGAGAAATTAGCGCTGCCTGGCAGATTGCATCATTTTCAAACATTGCTTTCAGCAAATAAACTGAATTAGTAGGACCAAGGTCATCAATAGTAAAACCACAAGATCATGTGATCATAGCTTCTTGAGTACTACATCTATGCTGCACACCAGCACTCCCAAGTACTACTTAAAAAGCGTCCATGTCAGGTTCAGTAGAAATCACAAACTTGCCCTCCAATAGGTAGCTGGAGGGAGGTGATTAAACTGATTATTAGAAATGCAGGAACCCGGCATTATATCCAGCTACCTAAACCCTTCAGGGACGTGCATACCAAAACCACGCTTCAGCTTCTCAATTCTATTCAGCAAAAGGGAGATGACTGTGAGTACATGCAATAACCATATTGGAAGCAATATAATCAAGAATATAACTGAAATTGCTAAATCCAAATGCTATCAAAATGGCTGCATAAACTTGGACTTTTTAACAATTGAAGAACCAAAATGTGGCAGCTGAATACTAATCTAGATGAGCAGTACACTAGATAAGGTCTGGAACTTGAAAGCTGGAGTTGCACATATAGTCGACTTGATAATTTAGTCCAATAAGATTTAGCAACAACGACTGACAAATACGGAAAATTATTGTTTACTCCCCCGATCCAAAATGCAACTCATTTTAGCCTTTTCAAATGACAAATAAGGTCTAGTATCACACTTCTGCTCATGTTGTTCCTATTTAGCCTCTCATTAATTTCATATTGAGCAATAACTCTAGTATCTGATTGTACTGCCAAAAAAACTCTAGTGTTTATTGTAGAAATAAATAAATGGTAATATTGCTACCTATACCCTTAATCTTGTGCCCAACTCTAAAAGAACCTACCTTTTGGATTGGAGAGAGTGACCTCCTCAAATAAAGTTCAAAACTTGGAAGTACAGTTAAAGTGGAGTATCTAATAAGGTGAGTTCATGCTAAAGATTGGAGGGTTGTGACTAGGAGAAATAAGTCACTGAAATAGGTAAAAGTGTGTTATGGCTCAAAGTGATGCTCCAAAATGGCACTTTACTTAACAAGGATGGCTGGTAATATATCCAACGTTAGCACTTAACCCAGTTCTTCTAACTCAGCAGTTCCCAGAAACCAAAAATATAATTCCCAACAGAAAGCCAGGAGGCATATCGAGTATGCATGGCTTAGGACGTGACTCAAAACCCATGGCAAACTGTGGAATTTATCTTCCATTACACTCACTTAGCTGGTACATGATTTCCTAGGATGTTCACTTGTTTCTCCACCTTAAGCTATCCATGGGTCTACCCAGCTCCTCCTACCTCTTACAAACAGTCAAAAGACATGGCTCTTACGTACACAATCTCAAACTGCAGCATGAGCTCACACCACCGAGAACACACGGACTCAAATCCAAGCGAAAATGGTTTAATTGCCAATCACATAGATACCATCTCTTGCTTCCAGATTTAAAAGCCTATATAACCTTACATTTGGCAAAAATGTCAATGTTCATAAGTTGTTCACTCTCAAGGGACATGTCTCCAATCTCGTAGATGCTTGCGGGGGGAAATTGGCTGTGCAATGGCAAGATCTGCTGGATGTTTGCCACTCCACCACATTGACTGATGAAGGTGTGGATGCTAGGGGAAAAAGGGTTCAGTGTTATATCTATATACTAGCAAGATGCCCGTGCCGGAACATCAAGATGCATTTGTATGAGTAGTTTATCTTGTGAGAGAAAAGGATGAACGAGGAAAAGCCTTATTTGCAAATGTGGATAGGGGTGTGGGTATCTTTTTGCAAAATTGCCATAGTTTCCTTCCTATCCGTCAGATATAAATCGGACGGCCTATATTGTAGGATGGCAGGCACACCATCATCACCAACTCTGTTTTTTATAAGAGTAGAGATACACTTCCTAAAGGATGTTTGCCATGAGAAAGTTTTTAGACAATTGTGGTGCTTGAAACTCCCTTTAAAAGTGAATGGGAAGAATTTTAACTAGAGACAACCCCTTAGGGAAAGGAATGGATCATCATCGCTCTGCTCTTTTTGCGTAATAGTTGAAAGCATTGACCATCTCCTCTTCAGTTGCCCTGGCCACATCTGTATGGAGCATTGTTCAAATGTGCTTTTTCTTCACCTACACCTCACAGTGGAGTTGGGTAGGTAGGGGAACGGCTTAAAGAAAGCAGGGTGGGAACATGATATAGCTAAACTGTGTTTAGCTGCAATGTTTTGGACACTGTGGAAACCACAAACACTGCTTGTTTTGAAAACAAGCTACCTTCTGACCCCAGTGGGGTTATTTACCACATTTGCTATTGGCTTGACTAATGGGGTTATTTATCAAAAAAAAAACATAGTACCATGGACTTGGTAATAATATGATGGAGCACAAATGAAGCTTGTGGGGCTTGGACTAATGATGCTCTATGTTCATCCCAAAATCCTAACTGATGGAGAAGGATGGGCAATATATTTCAACACTCCCTCTCACGTCTAGGCTACTCCAGGCCTTAGATGCGGGATTGATATTTTATTGGCCCTGATACCATACTAAATTAATGCTCCGGCCAGTTCCTACAAATGTCTGAACTGATGGAGAAGGGTGTGCAATATATTTCAACAACTCTGGGTTGTACATTTACATATCTTTTTAACTAATTTTTCAACAAATAATATCAGGATTTACGGTGTCCTACACTTTATTAGCCTCTTACTCCACAAGTCTGACTCCCTAGCAACTTCTACAACAAGCATGGAGACCAATTTGATGGCCACAAAAGCTGTGGTTTGCCACACTTGTGGCGTGAGCAAAATCGTGGTAGTCTGTGGAGGGCAGCGAAACATGCCCTAAATATCTTAGCAGCAAGGACATGCAGCCGTGCACAGAATGTAAAGGAACTTACGTGGGAGCAAGTTTGCCAAGACTGCGTAGCTTATTTCCAGCATCATCGGTAATATTTCCAGAAATCTCAATGGAATATGATTTGCCAGAGATACGTGGAAGTCCTCTTCCTACAAGCAAATCTAAATCTCTCTGATGAAGTTCTCTGCCATTGACAATGACATCAGTGTCTCCACCAGCACAATTTCTGGGCATTGGATAATTGAATTCTCTTATATATGGCTGCAAAGTAGAAACCATGAGAACACAATTTTATGAAAGCACCCTTGGTTATAAAGAAGAACAGGATCTAGATCTTACAGGAATAATGCCAATACATTCTCTACCCATGATGCCCCAAAATCCAGCACGGCAGTCATACCTGCACCACGAACACAACAAACAGAACTGTTAATGTTGACTTAAAAGAAATCCCCCTGAACCAATAGAAGTTCATCATAGAGCGGCATGTATCAAACTAATTAGCTAGATAATACTAGGCCAGATTATCTAATTGATGGCTCTCTAGTATCCGTTACAAAATAAAAGCCCCAAGCCAAGTGAAAAATGAATAATATGAGGGGGAAATGGAGGTAAAAATCGACCACAAATCCAACAATAAACAGCATTTATGTTCATGCAAGTTGAAAGGTAAGAAGTTCAGTAATTGGCGTGATGATAATCATAACAGTAACAATTTGAATTCTATATGTGTGCAAAAGAAACATACTAGTTACCACCATGATTACCTAACTAAAGATATGAAACGTTAAACTTATCAGCCATTATTTCAGTTTCTTATGAAGAAATTAACAGATGATGGGGAGGAGGTACGAGTAAAAATACTTTATCCTTAGTGTTGTTGTGAATGATTGCATCTCACATCAAGCACTATTTAAAAAAAATGCTTGGTTAAAACTTAAGAGGAATGCTTTTTTGCAGCACTGCTATGACATTGCAATTTGCAAGGCCTTCACTTTCTCATTGCTCACCACAATCAATAGTGGGTTTCAGAATAGCTGTGAAGTGCAATCTGTATGAGATGTGTGTGTTGAGCCAAAAGTTATTGAGCCTCAACCATCAGCACGCCCATGAATTTGGTTTCTAGCTATCAGATATGATATGCCGAAAATAGTTTATTGTTTAGAAAAAAGACGGGGCACGTCTGCACACGGAGCTAAAAGCAAAAAATATGAGTCATGGAAGAGAATTCCATAGAGATCTGGTAGCCTTCTAGAACACATACTCATAATAGTCACCAGAGCATTTTCTGCTTTACCATCTAGAAAAAGGGCAGCCCCAGTGCATGTAGCTCCCGCTTGCGCAGGGTCTGGGGAAGGGTCCGACCACCTTGGGTCTATTGTACGCAGCCTTTCCCTACATTTCTGTAAGAGGCTGTTTCCAGGACTTGAACCCGTGACCTCATGGTCACAAGGCAGCAGCTTTACCACTGCGCCAAGGCTCCCCTTCTGAAAAATAATTATGGCTTGTCTATCATAATTTCACTAAGCCAGGTTACTGCTATAAGACAAGCATTTGTTTGTCCTTATCAAAGTGAAAAATGAACAAAGTAAACCAGTCTGCACAGTGCAAACTAGTACAAGTGCAGCAGACTGTTCAAAAATTTAATTGCTGCTGGCGCTACAGAAATTACTTACCAGTATGAGCCAGGTTCAACAGGACCAGCTTTCTTTTCTGCCTTCTTAAGAGCTCTTTCCGAGATTGGATGGCCATTGATTGAAATTTTAACACTATCCATGGACTGGTTAAATAAAGAAAGGTCCTTGAACCCCTTCTTCAAGAAACCAGCAAAAAATGATGAATCCCCACTCTTACCAGTTGAGGATTGATCTTCATCTAAACCAGCCTCAGAAGAACCACGAGAAAAACCAGAATTTGTGCGCCCATTAACTGATGACCCACTCTCCGTTAGGGCATTGGCATCCTCAGCACATGGCTCATGCAATTTTCCATTATCTCGTTCCATTAGGTTTTCTTCATATCTCTCACTTGTGCTTGTACCTTCAAATTCAATGGCAGTGTTGGCATGTTCGACGGCACTGTTGCTGTCTGCTGTGTTGTTTTTGTCAAACTCATTACTTGTGTTCTCAACTTTCAGACCGCTTGTTTCATCTTCTTTGCTGTTGTGGTCATATTTCTTGCGTGTACCTTCACTTTCAGGACTGATTGTGACATCGGTTTTGCTTGTCCACCCATGCTTTTCATTTCCATTCTCAAGACTATCAGGGTCAGATTTTGTACTATTCTGCCCATGCATTTTGCTAACATCTTCAAGGCTAGAACAGTGATCTTCCTTGTTCTTTTGATCATGCTTTCTGCACATGCTTTCCTCTACAAATTCAGCTTCATTGACCTTTTGTTCACTTCCCATGCTGACACTCTCATCATCATTAACAATGTATTCTCCTTTGCAATTTAGGTCAGATTCATTATCCATACCTAAGTCCTCTGAACTATTGTGTTTTTCTTGGCTGCACAGTGGATCAACAAGTTTGTCCTCTAAAATTGGGGAACACGGGCTGACTGGACCATCTATGGAATGTTCCTCCTGACAATCTGCATCTCTTTCACATAATATATCCTTTGGGCTTTCAATATCTCCAGACCTGCCTGGAGACAGAGAGATACCATCGGCTTTCGACTGAATGCTCCTGTTTGAGCCACATTCTTTGTCAGTCCTTTCATGACTAATGGTGGAAGAAACTGAATTATCATCACCAAAATCTATGTTGATTTGCATGCTGCTGTGCTCATTCAAATTATAAAACGCAGAAGTGACATCATCATGATGCTGATGCTCAAAATCTCGCCTCATTCGATCATGTGAGCTTTGCTCAGTTTTGGACAAGCTGAAGGGCGGTGAGGATGTGTAGGGAATAGTCTTTCCTTTCACGCGCTTCACACTGATTATCTCAGAGCAAGACCCACACTGTAGCCTGTTTTGTTTCCACCCCATGCATTTTTCCATTGGCACCTGCAAGAGATTATAACAAGAACTGCAAACAACAAATGGCGCAGCGCCATGCATTGGCCGGCAGAGATGTTCTGCCTTCTTCCTAAAATACTCAGCCCTTTTCTTTGACACCGAGCGATGCGAGTAAAGCGATGATGCCACAGACCTTTGGTCATAATCTGATGAAATAGATGGTGACCTTTCAAACCGGTAGCATTCATGCTGCCCAGCGAAGTATCTGGCCATTGGTATGTGCTCTTCTTGTGGCGCAGGCCTCTGTCCATGCAGATAATGCGGGCTAGCACACGCATACTGATGGTAATTCCCATGTCCAATCCCACCGTTCTCCCACTGCCTCCCTGGGTACTGGCGATACCGCCCACTTGACTGCCTCGCGTACCTCTCCCCATGATCAGAGTGCTGCGGCTCACATGGGCTCAACGGCAAGCCATGCCCATACCGGGCACCATAGCGTGGGCGGTGATACCCGGGTAGAGGTACCGGCTCGGGAAGGTCAGGGAGCAAGGAGGGCGGTCGGCGGCCCGCCCGACGGTGCTCCCGTGGCTGCTCGGCGACCTGGCAGGACCGCGTGATTTGGTCCCTCAGCTCGTCCAGCTTGCGCAGAAGCTCCACGGGGTCCTGCTTGAGCACGCCCCAGTCGACGGCCCTCTGGTCGCTGCATTGCGCGCGCTCCTGGAGCCCAATCCTCCGCCTGTACTTAATCTCCTTCAGATCGCCCATGGCGCCTCCCTCCCGTAGGCGTTCCGTCTCCTAGTTTCCTCGCCTGGCCGAGAGCGTCCAATCTGCGGGAAGGGATTAGAGCAGTGGATGAATAACAGATCAGCGCGGCGGATCCGACGAGCGGCGGGAAATGGGTTAAGTAAGATCCGCCACGGGCTCGGTGTGTCGGGAGGCCCGTCGGCGATTACCTTCGAAGAGAGCTCGTGGCGGCGAGGCTACGGCGCGGGGGGCGTGGCGGCGCCGCCGGGCCGACATTAGGGTTTGGCTGGGCAGCAGGAGGAGTCCGCCATGAGAGAGAATGGGGGCGGTACTTGAGTGGCAAGTGCGAGCGGTAACGGAGACGACAAGGGAAAAGAGGAGTAGTGCTTGGTTATATTTGAGCGGGCTCCGGAGGTGTCCGGAGGGACCGTTTTGCGATATCGAGATTCCTCGAGGGGCTCGAGCGCGGTGGGCGGTGGGGTAGCGTATGGATGCGGTCCTTCTGGCTGCGCCGCTGACGCAGGGGGTCAAAGAGCTGGGCCCACGTGGCGGCGAGCGGCCTGGGTGGGTACAGCTGGTGGGAACCGGGCGTGTGGGTGAGGCCTTCCCTTTCTAAAAAAAGCATTTTCCCTCTTGTCTTGTGGCCAGCACTAGAGATGCTGCTTAACCAAGTAATTAATCACGTGCTCGCCGTGCAAATCTAATGCAGCTAGTCCTAATGGTCTTTCTCATAATACACCAAACATTGCGACAAAAGAATATATATTTTTGCCAACGGAACATACGTTCCGCAATTTATCCGAAATTTGCCAAAAGCAAAGGTTACTCTCGTCTTATAATAAACATGCGTACGCCGAGGGCACTCAGCTCTTTAGGCTGGTCACAATGGAGAGGAACTTAGGAGTAACATCACACACTCCAATACAATTTTGCTTATGTGTCACATATTTAATGAAGAGAGAGGTGCTTGTGGTAACTAGCTAAGTTACCGGAACATCACACACTCCAAGAAACAATGAGTCTATAACCTAATAAATACATTGTTGCATGACACTACATAGATGTTCTTACCCACTATGAAGGTAGTAACATAGTCTAGGAAAGTGTGTAAGTTACTAGACTATGTTTGTGACCAGCCTTATTATCATTGCCCTTTTTACGTGCCGTTGCTTCTAGAAGTTTGATCCTGATTCAAGCTGTCATCCTCTCTCTCGGGTCTCGGCTAACGAAAGCATCTGGGGACCGGAAATTTCCCGTGTTGCCTTCGATGCGAGATGCTGCGGCCGTGGTTGGATCCACGCACTCCAAAGCAGCAGCCGTGTAGCTTTCGGGGCAGGAACAATCGGCAGGACGAGAAAAAGGGAGAAGCAAGCAAAGCAAGAATAGTACATACAGAGACGGCTCCGCGTAAAGGAGGCCTACTTTGTTGAAACATTTTGCCCAAACGCCTCGAGCGAGCACCACAAGTTTCCCCGAATTGGTGAAAGTATCTTTAAAGATACGAGTAGGAAACATGGAAAAGAAACCTATGGTTGGCTGCTACTGCATTTTGATCTGTCTTGGCCTGGCCTGGCCGAACGTCACGGCATTTATGCCCCAAAGTAAGTAAAAACAAGTGTAGGGGTAGCGGTAATTTCTAAAGAGAATCTGGGTATAGAACCTGCCGACCCAGAGAAAGTCACGTGGCATGTGATGTGATCAAGCGAGCGAAGGCCCATCCAAAACCTCCCTTGGTAGGCAAGGAAGCAAAGAAAGGTCTCCAGTCCAGATGTCGCACACCAACACGCGGCTTTCGGTCCTCTACCCAAAGGCGGAAACGTCGAGCAAAGCACGCACACGCACACGCACCGCAGCACTGCACGGACGGGTAACAGATAAAGTTGGTGATGATGGCATGGTATTCTCCCTCGCTGTCTTTTTCCGACGGTCTCGCGGAGTCAATACTTGACCTGACGGTAGATGCTCTGCTCTCCTACCACGTACGTGCTCACCTAGACATTCTTGGAGGAGGGCCGACGTGTGCTCCTTTTCCGTGGCAGATTAGCCTCGGCCATCTACTCGGGTTTGATCTGCTTTTCTCCGCTGGCGCAACGACAAATCAACTGGTGGTAGCAGTAAGCAGGAACGGGCCGTGGGAAAGGAAACGGGCGCTGAGGTCCAACCAAAATTTTAGCAGACGGCACTGGTGCCGCATGTGGGTTTGCCTGTGATTGTCAAGTATGGCTGCACGCTTCTGTCTCTGCGCTCTGCTGTGCTGTGCGCTGAAAAGACCTCCCGTCTCAGGTCAGCAGATCTTGGGCGGCGGCTTTGTTTCAAACTTCAAGTCCACCCTCCAACGCGTTTGCTTCGAGTATTCGTCGACGTTGCTACGGGTCCGTCGTTTCGTTACAGGTTAGACCATCTACAACCCACAAGACAAATATGACCTCACAAACGTCAGTAACCTGTCAGAGCAACTCCGACGGGCCGACCCAAATGGACGTCGTTTTTGTTCGTTTTTTGTCCGTTTGGGTCGGCCGCCCGCCCGCCGTCCGCCCTTTTTTAGTTTTGGGTCGGCAGTGCGTTCAACGAGCCGACACATTTTCATGACCGCACGCATTTAACATCGTGTCGTCGCCCTGATTTTGATGCTCCAGCATGCGGGAAAGGTTCGCGCGCGCTGGTTTTGGCGCTCCAGCATGCGGGAAAGGTTCGCGTGTGCTGGTCCCACATGACAAATATAACCTCACAAACGTCAATAACCTGTCAGAGCAACTCCAACGGGCCGACCCAAACAGACGTCGTTTTTGTCCATTTTTTGTCCGTTTGGGTCGGCCGCCCGCCCGCCGTCCGCGCTCTTTTAGTTTTGGGTCGGCAGTGCGTTCAACGAGCCGACACATTTTCATGACCGCACGCGTTTACCATCATGCCGTCGCCCTGATTTTGATGCTCCAGCATGCGGGAAAGGTTCGCGCGCGCTGGTTTTGGCGCTCCAGCGCGCAGGAAAGGTTCGCGCGCGTGCCACGGCCGACGCTCGGTATAAAAGAAGGCGCTCTCTCCACACTCTGTCGGCCGCCCACTCTCGTCGCCTCTGCGCCACCATGTCGATCCGCCGCCTACGCGCTTCGGATTTTCGCGGAGTCCGCAAGCGCCGCTCCGGCGCCTTCTCCGTCGAGATCTGGTTTCGCGAGAAACGCCTCGCCCTCGGCACCTTCGACACCGCAGAGGAGGCGGCCCGCGCGCACGACGCGACGGCGTGGCGCCTCCTGAGGCCTCGTCGGGATATGAATTTTCCGAACGTGTCGAGCCAACGGGCGCAGGATCTGGCGCCTCTCCCGCGGCTTTTCACCGACGAGGATCGTCGTGTCCACCGGAGGCGGCATCGTCGCCTCGCCATCGCAGAGAAGGACGTGGAAGGCTTAGTGTTGTGGCTTGGAGGCTACCCGCAGGACATCGTCGACGAGCGCTAGTTCTACAAGCAATTGAGATCGGAGAGGGACGCGAGGAGAAGGGAGAGAGCCGCCTATGGGAGGACAAGCGTTCGCGGAAGCAGGCAGCTCAATTGAAATTGAAGCTACGAGAAACGGCGGGTTGGGACTTTGAAGACGAGGCGTATGCTGACGCCTACATTCAAACATCAGAGGAGGACATTACCGAGTCGGAGTCAGAAATCGACGAGTAGTGGTCTTTTCTTTTTATCTGTGTACGCTAGAATTATCTATGTATCCATTTTTATCTGAAAAAATGGCCGGCGGCATCGGCGACTTAGCAGGCGGGCGAGGGTGTGAATCCAATGTGCCACCGACCAGCGGGCCCGGTGAGGAAAGAGGGCGAGCGCGCGCGTCCATCTCGTGTCCGCGCCGACGCAAATCCGGCTCAAAAATGGGCCTGGTATGGGTCGCCCGCGGACGAAAAACGGACGCGCGTCCATTTGGATCGGCGCGTTGGGCCGTCACTTTTGTCTGCGCCGACCCAAACGGACACGGGCGGACGAAATGGGTCGCCCCATTGGAGTTGCTCTCACACCTCAAATTAACACAACTGCATCGGACATCTCATACTAAATTTTAAAATTCATGCAAAAGCATGCAAAGGAAACAACCTACGTGCTACATAGATCATCTAAGCTATTTCTCGTTGGAGATGTCGACTATCTCCGTGCCCGACTCCGGATACATGGGTGGCAGCTGCAGCTCCGGCACCTCTGGCTACTCCGCTCCGACCTCCTTCTTCTCCTTTATCTTTGCGTCGAGTTTGGTGAAGAGCGCGTCGGTCGCCGTCCGCTTCTGTCGGAGGAACTGTCGGTTGGCCTCCACATAGGCCTCATTCTGGATGGAGTCCAGGATGGCTTGCTGATTTGCCATCTCCGCGGCTTGGGCGACGATAAACTTCGCCTCCGCCTCTGCCTCCTCCGTGTCCAACCCCGGAGCAGGCTGCTCCGCCTCGTCCTCCTCCAGATCCGCCACCTCCATCGGCTCCGGCAGCTGCTCTCCCTCCTCCTCCGGCTCCGGCTAATTCAAAGGCAGGCGGCACAACTAGCCTGGATCTCCTCCGTGATCTGCCTCCGGCGCTCCGGCGTGAGCATAGCGTACATGGTGATCTTCTGCCGAACCATGGAGATGCCGGGGAGCATGGGAGGGCGGGGGAGAGGAGGCGGATGGGCTCAGGTTGCGGCGCATAGAGGGGGGAGGTGGATGGGCTAAGGTTGGGGGACGTTGGCCGGCTTAAATAGATGGATTTGGCCTCGGGTCGGCGCCACGCGGCGTTCACATCGCGGCGATGGAGGAGGCGTCCGTCGAACCGCTAGGCTTCCTGGCAATTACGCGTGAGACCCCATCGTTAGTCCTACGTGGCGGATGCGTCCGGACACCCTCATATCCTCCCCATATTTGGGTTGGATATGAGGGGTGCTGGTCAGTCCGGGCGTTTGTAGCCCATTTGAGGCGTTCGTTTGGGTCAGATTTTCGTGACCGGTCAGTGACTGGGCGGGCCACCTGGGCGTTTGAGGCCGGTTTGTGGCACCTGGTTGTAGATGCTCTTAG